ATTGAGCTGAAAATGTAACTTTAATGTGCTTTTCTCTTTGGTTGGCAATGCGTTTCAGGATTAAAGCACTCTTCTCTGTAATCCGATTATATTGATGAGATGAAGCAAGCTTTTACATCTTAACATGACATGCTAACTTGTGTACAACCTATAATTGGCTAAGAATAGTAGCCACAGGCAAAAAAAAAATCATTCGTGTGGTGCAGCCAGACTAGTTAAACTAAAGCTCCCTTCCATCCAAGGAATTAATTTATATTATAAAAGTAGTTTATGACCAATAATTCGTTTGGCTATCATTTGTGGTCAAGCCGCTCCTGAAAAGGGGATTTTTACCTCATTGGGCCTTGCCTGGTAAAATAAAAAATAATTAAATAGTTAGCTTGTTATAATTAGTCTTGACTCTATAATCAGCAGTGATGCAATCGCCACGTATTCATTTCAATACAAGACGACCTGTCGGAAGGGCACATCAGTTTCAGTTCAGATACGAGTCAAGTAGCAGGTCGCATTTGGCAAAGTAAGGAAAGTTGTAGGCGTGAAAGAGTAGGCCAAAATCACCTCTAGGGAGGCTCTTCACTCAAAGGACTATTCAGAGCGCTCTCGATTGGAGGTCTGTCTGCTAGCAGTGGCGTAAGAAATACGTTTCGGGGATGCACCTTTAACTGTATCCACTGACAACAGTGCATATGTCCAAAAATTGCACTCCGCCTGCAAAAATTGTAGGACATTGCACTCACCACACACTAGGTTCTCACATACACGTGCACTTTGAAAGAGACATCACTGTTCTTTTGTGACCAATTATATTCAGAATCACGGGCAAATCCAGCTAGAAATCCCACACTTTATTTCTCTTTTGTATGGTTGCAGTTTCATGTAATGTGTCGGTGAAATCATGACTTCCGCTATGATGAATATGCATTAGGGTGTATTGCAGCGTGCCTGAGTCGTATAAACAATTCCATGTGATCACAAATACTCACGTATAAGTGTCAGTATGTCCTTACCTGTCCTCTAAAAGCAATGACATTGTTCTCACTCCTCTATTTTGTGACCGTGTCTGGATCAATAAGCCATGGTATGGAACATATTTTATTTACAGGGTTATTTCATTGTCACCCAGCAAAATAGGCCAATGTTTCTCTTGCTTGGTGCTTATTGAGTGTGTCTCTTGTGTGCCTATGGCTGCCATTAGGACCCACGTGAGCTTTCACAGTGACCCCCAAAGGTCATATTATAAAGGCTCAGCTGTGACACCACTGATTTAGTTTGCAAAAATGAAACCTGTAAATTTAACATGCTTTTTCTCCATCATAAAAAAAAACTAAATAAAATATTGCCATGAATTTTTAAACGGAAGGCAATGCAAGGGGGGATAACAGTCCTTTTGATATGAATGCAAGAGCGCTAAATGTCATTGCTTATTAGCTCATTCACATGTAGTGGACTGCAACTTGTGCATTGTATTGCCTCGGTGACCTCATTTGAAAACAAAGAATGGAGCAGTTTATTTTGGGACTGCTAAACAAATATTTCACTCCCGTCAATGTCATTCTGCACAAAGACAAGGATTCATTTTTTTAGGATGGCGAATTAACACCGGGAATGCAGTCACGTGAAAGCAGTCACGTGACTACAGTCACGTGAATGCAGTCACGGTGTCATGGTTAGCACAACTTGACTTGCAATCCAGAGGTCATTGATTCGATCTGCCAGCACGGCAATTGAAATGTGCAGGTTTCTTAAACCTCCCCACCGTCTCTGTGCCCACCCAGCAGCAATTATGGGTACGCTGCAGTTAGTGAATCGGCAGGTCGCGTGCGGTGGGGTAAAGTGTGGGTACTATTCTCTCAAAGTGTCTGGCCAGGGTCCAAGAGAAGGTCGAATGCTCTCTAGAGGGGTTCTCTAGAGCTCCCTTTTGTGGAGGCCCTTCTGCCAGCAATAGGTGTTGGCCAGCAATTGCAGGCTGCACACTTTCCACCTCTATCTTGTCAGGTGACCAATGCGTGACACGTACACACACACAAAGGCAATGTCTCCATGCAAACAAGGTGGTGTCCATGACAATTAGTGTTGCTCATTTATAAAATCCCATCTATAATTTTTAATGTTTGTACCTTATATCCAACACAATTGAATTCAACTGTTGAATGCTAAGTCATTGTTTGGATCGTTTTCCGTTTATTTTATTACCACGATAAACATGAGAATTCTAGCAATATATGCGAAGCGCCGAGCGAATTTTCTTACAATCAGATTCACACAGGCATGTTTAATTACACATGTAATCGGTTAATGGTGGAATTATCTATGCAGCATGTACAATAATATATTGGTGCATTAAACAACGTTCAGATACGAATCTCTTATCATTCCAGATATATGAGCAGACATAAATAATGGACATGATTGCTGCTAAAAAAAATAAAAATATATACAAACCTGATGCACTCATTTCTCATTTCATATGGATGTGTAATAAAAAAAATGGATATATTAATGATACATTGAAAGATTAGCCATTTCTCAGTCCAAAATGCGGATTTATTATTCCATGCTGTGTGCATAATTGTGCATTAACGTATTTACATAAATAATGTTAATGTACCGCCCTGTGTCAATTTATCACTGGATAAATGCCTTCCTATGCAATGTCAGTCATTATTTGACCATATCTTACCAAAACAGTGAGTGTGGGCTGGTGAAGGTATTTATATATTTAGTGATTAATAGCATTTTGAGCAAACTTTTTCTTCATGTAATGAATTAAACACGATTATTAACAATTACAAATACAATGCAAACTAAACTATGTATACCACATTCGCCAAAAAAGGCGATTCACCGGTTAAAATAAATTATCATGCTCACTCTACGTAGAATGTTGCAGTTAAGAATCAAGTCATGATTCATGCGAATTCTATGCAAATGTTAACTTTAGTATAATAAAATGAATGAAGCACAACAAGACAGATAATACAAACAGGGCATGCAAAAAAAAAATCTATATTTGAATTGAATTGTGACCCTGAATAGTGACAATCGATTGAATTGAAAGATAATTTAATCATTATCCAGCTAATATTAAGTATCACCGACTGTGTATGTGCATATATACGTACTAAATAAATAGTGTATACAAACACCATGCATAATTTACATGTGCAGCACTTTCACAGGAGACACTGCTGATATACAAAAAATATATTACAATGAGGCCCCGATGATGGCAGTGTCACCCTGCATATGCCAGCTACACAATACAGATTTTAATCAAGTTCACCAGCATTTCGACACACGTATGCCATACAATACTAGGCAAATAAACATGCACATGATATACCCAAACATATATGTCCATTCCATAAAAAGAACACGGCAATATTATTAATGGAATAGTGCCAGAGTGTGAGCTGTTGAATGGAACGGTTCTGAAAGGAAGTTTACCGAGGAGATAGAGTGATAAAATCAGCTCGTATGCAGAAGTTGACTCGATTGTGGGAGATGGTGGTGGCTTTGGGAGACCTTCATCTGGCAGTTGATTGATCATAGCTGCTGCTGATTATCAGTAAATGGTTCGGCACCCCATGTCACATCGAAAACATATGCCAACATCCTGCCAAATTGACTAAGCCTCCTGCAGGTCATGACCTTTAGTGTGGGGTGCATTGTTATGAAGGCATGCCCGCAGGTCCATTCAAGCTGTCCGAACGATCCCAATAACATGGGACGATTCGTCATGGCTGTTCACGCATTAAATGGGGAACCCGAAAAAAGGAGTGCTTGAAAGAACTGTTCATTGCCACCTTCTTGCTCATAAAGGGAGTAACCTTGTGTGTTTGTCTGTACACGTTGGGATGAGTTCATTTCAGTGTTTCCATCATGGTGCTGGGATAATGTGCCAGGTCGAGGGGTTACCAGCCCCTCGCACACACTAATGAGTGGACTTGCCAAATACTGGTACCAGCTGTGTCAAGATTGGCCTCTATGGAGAAGGCTCGTGAAAAATGCTACTGGGCAGTTGGAGGCAGTCGTCCTCCAACAAAAACGGAGGACAGAGTAGTGACGCTGACAACGAGCAGAGTTAACATTCAGCAAGGTGGCACAACAGGGGCCACAGCTGGAGCATCTGCCAGTCATTTTAGTCAGTCAACCGACGGCACTTTGGTCTGTCCCGTGATCTCCTGTCAGAGAGCCTTCGACACTTCACGTGGCCTTAAAGTGCACCTGGCCTGGCACAGGCGCCGTGGTGATGTCACAGCCACTTCGTGGAAAATGGCAGCTGTTGTTGTTAGGGTGAGTTCTAAAATCAAATTAATCGCTGGTGTTTTGTCTTCGATGGTCAAAGTCATGTAAATTTAGAATGATTTAAGGCACAAAGGTGGCATTGAAAAAATCCTATATTTTTGTCGTGAAAAAAATAAGAATTTTTAGATGGAAGATTTAGCATTTTAAATATTCTTCTTCAGCATTGCTGTCAGTGCCTCTTCATTTTGGACCTGTAGCTACACATCTTTGACCTGTGACATTGTGGAGACAGTGCTCACAGCAGATGCTCCAGCCTCCAGGATGGTTTGATATATGGGACAGCGGCTAGACAGCAGGGATTTCATCTCACTCGCCGGCTTCCAGAATTAACTTTTAGGATGTCTCATGCATGGAACAGTGATGGGTTTTCATATTTCAGCAGCTCAAAAAAGGTGAATATGTTTCTACTGCAATGGGATATAATGTGACTGATACGGGGATATCAATACCGCCCCACGATGTTGAGAGCTTGAGTGTCACACCACTGCCACCTCCTGACAGATATCAAGAAATGCATGATAAAGCACACCAGCAACTGTTGTGTATGCCCCAAATAAAACACTGAAAATGTTGTAGTCTTTAGGCATGCAACATCTTTGTAAATGTAACATTTCATAATAATGTATACACTCATATTCCGGGAAACATGAGCAATGTGACTCAATTATAATAAAACAAATTTACAAATGCGATTGAAGAATATCAAGGGATTGTTTTAATGTGCTTTTTCAAACATATTGCAGTGTAAAAATCAACAACTGTTATTTACCATGTATGACTGCTGATGAGAATCAGAAAGGTGAAACTGGTTCAGCGTTTCACAAAAATGCTGCTGTAAAACATCCAGAAGGCCCATAATCATCCAGAAGACCGATCATATGCTATTCAAAGTGAAAATGCCCCTTTACAATAATCAAGTTGCGTAGATTTCTGTGGCGTACCAACAGCTTCATAAAATAATGCAGAAAGTGGCACTGCATGTGACTTTCCTTATCTCTTATTGCATCTGTATTTTAAATTGTTGCTCATTATTTTGCTCCACAATTAACAAAATATCTCTACAGCTAAAGTAAACGGAATAGTGTATGTATAGCAATGAGAGCTTTCACTTTAATAGTATCCTAAATTGGTTATGAATTATATTTAGGTTTGACAGCCAAATAGCTCATCCATGAACTTATTATGATAAGTGCTTCGGTTTTAATGTCCCTGCAAACAAACAAAACAAAGAGGTTTTTTTAAATGTTTACATCAATTACACTGCATAACACAAGCATGCAGATATCTCGACACAACACAGACAATTCACCAAGTCATATTAAGTTATATCATCATCATCAGTAATTGACCATCCATTGCTGGATGTCCTGAGTGACAGTGTAGAGATGAAGGCCTCCATAGGCTGGCATCATCCCTCATAGTTTTGCGATGCCACAATCCGGCTTGAGATATTCAATCACTCTACCATCACAGTAGTCATTTTCCCAGGCTCTCTCTCTCTCTCTTTTGGCTGCGATTCTGTCACCATGTTCATCAAGGCATCACAGCTGCTCGCCATGTGTTCTGCCAAAGTCCACTTATTTAAGAGTTTAATGACATTTCTGATTAGTTTGTTCCTTTATCCATTTGTTCCTATTTCGGTCTCATATTGTACGATTTGCATCTCTCCAATCTTCTAAGCAGACTTTTTTTTTACTTTAGTTCCATTTTATTTGTCAAGTGTCTCTGATTGCGGTGTGCACTAAAACACCTCAAGGCACAATGGCATGCTCCTTTTCATTATAAAACTCCCGTTTTACAAAACTCCTAATTGCTCTCATTCACGTGTATTTCACTATTTCAACCGCTATATACTTTCAATAAATGTCTTTACGTATCATATTTTTCCCAATGTTGTCTGCCCAATAATTATAAACTCGTATGTCACCAAGATGTAACTTTTTATACACAAAACATGCACACGTATGAACATTGAGTAACGTCATCACGAACATTTGTTACACATTAGCAGTGGTCAAATCGGCAAAACTAACATCAGCATTATGCCTGCATTGTTGTAAAAGACACCACACCTCTGTGTGTGGCATGTAGGCTTCTCGGTAGGTGGTGATCCAGCGATAAGTGTCCAGGATTCCGTACACATCTGGCTGGGGGGCACTGCGTGGCTCAGCACGTCCCAACACGCTTGGGGTTTTGGGGCCCCCATTCACCTGAGCAAACCTACAGCACAATACACACCACTCATGTTTTGCTACTGTATTTCTACAATTATCTATTACATTATAAACATTATGTTTATATATGTTAAAACCTTGTAAAACTTTTTAGCATGCACTATAAACAATGAATCATGTATGCAAGCCACAATCTGTAAACACATTTTAACATTGGCCACTGATGTAGTTGTTGCTTATGCATGTAGGGCAGTATATGGGAAAACCAGACGAGTTAGTGGGCCACACAAACGGCCCTCCATCACTTCAGTAGGCCGTGAGCTTGACACTGTGCTTGTGTACTCATTGTGACCCCACGCATCTCCCCGGAGACACGCCGAGACCAGGCCACCACGAGGGGCCCCAGAGCCTGCACGCAACCCACGGGCCACCACTGATGTAGGGTATTATCCACACCATGCCCTATAAACCTTACAGGTGTTTATTAACGCCCAATTAAAGCCATTACAAGTTATTGGTCAGCGACCAAGGGGAAATATCATAGTTGGGATTTAAAGAATGTGTTGTGATACATCACATTGTAAATACTTGGGGAATAATTACTCATAATCATCATTCTCACACAAGCAATTTTATGCAAGTATCGTGAATAATCTAATAATAAAAACAAATTAATTAATCCATGCATTATTACCCCTACTACTAAAGAATTACAAAAATATATACAAGTGTATGAACTTGCTGGCTGCCATGTGCTCTAGTTGTCCTCTAGATAAACAGGCCCTGACCATGGAAATTTGACATTATACCACTGACTGAGGACTACCAACAGACATGGGCTCCAACTTATATTCATTGAGAATGTGCAAAATATTCAACGTCTTCGATTCCCACTGTTGTACAGGAGGGCTGCAGCAATTACGAATGAGTGGAGTGGCTTGTGTGCAGAATGAATGACGAGGGTTTTGAAGTATTGCATGTCGGTACCGGTTGGGAAGCATGTACGAGGGGTGGGTCGCCACAAATTTGTTCGGAATGCACTTTCCGGGCTCCATGCTCCACTGCTCTGTCTGTCAGAGGGCAACAGGTCTGCAAGATTAATATTTCACACGTGAAGCGTGGCCGCTAGGTCCTCGCACTGGTGCGAGGTTAACAGCACTTGTTGTTTTTCACAAATGTATTTTATTTATTCTTCAGTGGTATTTCTTTGGGATTTATGAAAAAAAATAAAAATGTTTCAATGAAAGCACAAGCATGCTTGGTAATTCACGATGCAATACTGCAGTGCAGTGGATAATTTGGAATTTAAATTTGTACATGAATCACAGCATGACATGCAGAGAATGCAAGCTTGTTCTAAGGTATAATTACGATATTTCTGAGCAATAACACACTCATACATGTGTTCATTTATTCACCACGGTTGCAGTTCAAACAGCGTTGGAAACCGTCATATTATGTTCTGACATTGCCCTTACAATGTGCTGCTTGCTTCAACTCTGACTATATTATGTTTACATACTGTACAATAAATACTTCAGATGTATAGTGTATGTGCAAAATAGTGCATGCATTACTATATTACTGGTAGGAACCTCCTGGTTACACCAGCCCACAGTGGATTATTGTGTCCGTCCGTCGTGCAGGGAGGGGCTGGGTGGGGAGGGAGGGGCTGGGTGGGGAGGGGAGGGTGGGGAGGGGCTGGGTGGGGAGGGTTGGGATGGGCTGGGTGGGGAGGGTGGGGAGGGGCTGGGTGGGGAGGGTGGGGCTGGGTGGGGGGTGGGAGGGGTGGGGCTGGCTAGGGGAGGGGCTGGTCACCCCGTGGTGCTCTTATAAAACTCAACGTTTAACCTACTCACGCCGGCTTGACCCTGGCCATTGACCGAGCAACCCAACGTTCCTACCAGCTCCCTCCGCAGGAATGTGTTAATACATTAACAAAATCTAAATCGTAAGCCTGGACATCTAAAAATCAGTTTTATTACAATATATTGTATATTATTGGTTCTTTCTTGGTTATTTCGGTAAAGTCACGTAACTTTACCGAAAGAACCAAGAACATGAATCCCTGCAGTCACGAAAGCTTTAAATCGAAATATATTGTATAGTATGCAAATACTGCACAGGGTGGTCCAGACGTCCTGTGGCCCCCATTTAATTATATAAAACGTAATATATTTGTTTAAAGTATTGTATATTCAAAACTGAAATGAATATACAAAACATTGTTGGAGGTCAATTAATTGCGGGTCACAAGACATCTGGACCATGCTGTACAATGTCAAGATGTAGTGAGATGCCCATAATCGAGGTTTGTGGGTTAGATCGTGTAAGTATAAATGTTGTGTCGAAACCCTCCACCACCCGACACAGCCAATTAGTAAGGGATTTGCCACGTAAACAAAACGCCAAATAGTTACTACTTCAGCCCACCGGTGTGTTGGAGAGTAAATCCACAACATTTACGTAATATTGGTCGCGAAAGCCTACGTGTAGTGAGATGTATTGATAGTTTATTCTGTTCAAATTAAAGCAACAATATAAAATACATTTAAATATTGAGCCATTCCAATTTTAATATACACCACAAAGTCAACCTTTGCTGATGACGGCAGGACGAATTCTTTAAGTATTGTATTTACGTGATGAAGTACTGCACTGAACTCGAAGCACCACCTAAGTGCCATGGGACAGCAGCCCATGATGAACAACGACTGTGCATTGAATATGACACCACTGATTTTCCTGCACATTAGCACTAGTTAATGATATAATTGCAATAACAATGATAATAAGTAAAAATCAACGACGGACACATTGACCCATGTTCAGGACTGGGTCTACCTGTTCCGTCTAACCCACAGGACTCATCTTCTTGGTTCTTTCGGTAAAGTCACGTAGAAGGGAAGTAACAAAATAATAAAAATAAAACATAATAAAATAATTCTCACGACGTTTCGGCCACAACGCAAGCAGCCGTCCTCAGGTGAAGAATGAAACACCACCAATCTTGGAGCGTATATTTAAGCTGGTTTGGAGGGGTGGATTGAAGAGCGCCTTGACAAAATAATTTGCATATCAAGAGGAATTTTAGCATATTTATGGCTAATGCGTAGGAGGTGAGCGGGGGGTATCAAAGTCATATTATGCCCGTGCATTATGCAGGATTAGCAGCATCAAAAGTACTCAACCACACTATACTGCAGGTCACAACTCTTACCAACACTGATGACGAACTTACCCCGAAGTCAATAATCATATTAACCAGCAGTGGATCGATCACGGCTGGCAACACAGCTTGTGAAACTCGATCAATATTAATGACAGTGACACACAAACAAGCCACGTAACAGAAACAATGTAACGCGCACAGAACCGTACTTACAAACCAGCTGTCGTTAATAAACCAGAGGGTAAAAAATAATAATTAAGTTTTAAAAAGAGACAACCATCGATGATGTGCACACACGTGAAGACCAGCGGACAACAAACGCACGTGGTTGCCCGGGCAACGGGCGACCAATCAGAAACACAACTTATTTTCAGCATCTGTCGTCAAATGACCCCGTGTCTTCTTGCCACCTCGGACACTGAATTGCGGTTGGGAAAACTCGGAGCCGTGAGCTTTCAGACGCTGTGGTCCACCGGCAGCGAGCAAATAAATAAATAAAGCGCCCACAAGCGTAGGCGGGGCGACGGTGACGTCACGACGTTAAAGTTATTTTTCGCGGGAGACGCGGAGCCACACGCGCCCCTGACTCAAGTTTACAACAACAACAACCACCGACCATCATCGCGACTCTTGACGCGCTCAGCAGCGACACGACGCGATGCCAAAGCGGCCCAATCCGTTCGGAGACTGCGCGCCGCTCCAGTGGAAGACGCACGTGTCGCAGAAGCAGCTGAACGAGGGCGCGCAGTCCCGCCAGCGAATGCAGGCCGTGTATGGTACGCGCACTGTACGCGCACTGTACTAATGTAGTGCTAAATCTGATGTTATGGTTGTTTTCTCGCGGCTTTCTTTCAGTATCCCCTCTCTGATTAATATGAGTTCGCGCGTTAAATGCTGCCGTGGTGTGAATAACCAGCACATCCGAAGGTCGGCGGTTCTACCTCTGGTAGCGGAAGTTTAAATAATCGGCAATAATCTTCCATCTCCCCCACACCGTCTCTAACCAACCAGAAGTATAAAAGTTTTCTTGGTTCTTTCGGTAAAGTCACGTAGAAGGGAAATAATAAAATAAAGCAAAAAAATAACTCTCACGACGTTTCGGCCACAACGCAAGCAGCCGTCCTCAGGTGAAGAACAGTCGTTCACCACAGTCGATCGGCAGATCAATGTGGGTACTCCCCACCTGTTTGGAGACGTTTGGCCGGCGTGGAAGACTTAAGCCTCGACAGCTCCCTGTATACGTGACACTTGCCGGCAAGCGACGCGACGAGCGAGCTACAGATCGCAATGCCGCATTCACCCCCATCCCCCCCATTACTTTTGTTGCAGAGCGCACCAAAAGCCTCCTCTTCGCCGGGGCACAGGCGGCGAGTGCGGATCCTCCCCTGGCATCCGCCGGGGGGGTCCCAGCGTCCCCGAGGGAGAAGGGACACTGCGCCGCGCCTGATGAGAGTGGTGCCACTGTGCCGCGACCCGGGGATGCTGCGACCCGGGGCCAGATGTACCTGGGCAGCAGGGGGCAGCTTCTGCTCAAGCCGCCGGTCGACGCCCAACAGAGTGAGTGTGGGTTGTTGGGATTGTGCGAACGATGAAAACGTCGTGCAGAGAAGCTGCGTTGAGTCGCATGGCTTTGGACAATTCGGTCACAGTTCCCTATGATCACTGTTTCATTGCTTTCATGGCTTTGTTTTGGTGATTTTCGGAAAGTTTTTTGGTTTGGCCATGTTTGTTGTAGTACAGAGTTAGACTGATGGTCTCAAGCCCTTAATCTAAGTTATCTTGTGGTTGTTGTTGTTTGACTTGCATCCCACTGGGATTTTTGCACACAGTGTTGGTGTACGGTGCTTTTTCTGCAATATTTTGCTGTCTTTTCTTGGATTTTCTGTTTGCACTTAGTCACTTTAAGATGTTTTCTCGTTCATGTTTTTTGTTTGTTGCGGTTGCACCCGATTCAAGAGCCGAATGGCTCGCAGGGCTATACCTAATAAATACACTTGCACTTGTTTTCGAGGGTGCTACGTCGGGGATGTTTTGGCTAATGACCGAGATTACTGCCCCTGCTGATGCTGGACCAGCAGAGTGGCCGTGAGGCACTGCTGTTCCGAACTTCAAATCCGATGCCCTCAGCCCTCGTACACAAAAGAAAGAGAGTTCCTTCATATTTCATCAGCTGAAATCTCGCTAAGTTTGAATTGGAAGGACTGCTTTTGGGTCGGCACAATGCAAAGAATGTCTGTTATGGGGAGAAAAACTATTTTGGAATTCATTAGTAGTGCCAGAGCCTGGATGATGATGAAAAGTGGCTTGTCATTGTAACAACATTGTTACAAAGAGTGTGTTTTTGAAATGGACCTGTACCATGCTCACCTGCATGTTTCCCGCATCTCTGACCCCTTGTTTGCGAACACAGCAAGCACGCACCTCGTGTGCAGCACGTGCACGCGGACCGACGGGGTTCACGGCCGGTGCAGCCGATGCGACCGCCGCGTGTGCCGGAACTGCTCTCAACTGTGCATCGGCTGCGCATCGACCTTCTGCACAGTGTGCTCTGCCGTCGAGTCAGTTGCTACGTAACATTTTCTTTATTTCTGTGTCTTTTATATGATGTAGCATCCATTCAGAACTGTCACAGAGCGTTGCAACTCTACATGTCAGCAAATGGGCGATGGAAGCAGGTTTCACGGAGGTGCCATCGTGTGTCGGCACTGGTTGTGTGCGGCGTCTTGACCCTACCGTCCCCTTGTGCGTTTTGCTGGCATTAGGAGCAGTTTAATAGCGGCACATGCTTCATAAGTGTAACTGGGCATGACAGTTCCCGTGGTTTGACGTGGAACAAGAGGCCAGGCCGTTTACCCATTTTTCAACTGTTTGACAGACGAGGCAAGTCGTATGCAGTGCCTTCTCAAATAAGTGTTTAAGGGCCTCCCTTTGACCCCCCCCCCCCACCATGGATGTCTCGTAAAGCTTTACCAAATACGAAGACATTTTTTTAAGAAGGATCCTGCATTGGGATGTTTTACCAATTCTTTGGAGAAGTGTTTTTAATGTGGGAAGAAGCTGCATTACTCAGCGAAAACCTGAATATACGAGGGGTTAACACTGAACGCTTCATACTCACGAGTTCATGTACCCAGATGCAATGCTGCTACCTCCTGGCCACCCCCCGCAGCCCAGCAGGCTTAAGTTTCACAAACGTACAGAATCCACCCAACCATTGCCTCTAAACTGCTGGATTATAGGGATGGACACCATTCCACGTAGCTATAATCGTTCTCACCTACCTGCTCGTATGTGTGTATATACATGTAACGGTGTACAACTGCCATTAAGCAAGTAATGTCAATACTTGTCACCAAATCACCCACAATGTGATAGATCCCACAAGCTCTCAAAGTTTCCTCTACTGCCCACTTTGTCACCCTGCTACAGGACCACAAGGTGGGCAGTAGAGGGCAGTGCAGGAGAATCCATTGTTGTACTGTACTCCCCCCGCCCCTCACCAACCCACATTTACCGGTGTGGTGATGAATGGTAAAATATGCCTTGTAACCCGCATAGTGTGGCCGAGATCGAGCAGTGGATTGACAAAGGGCTGTACATGTGTGTCTGTGACTGAATTTGTGGTCGTGCAAGCAATGTTTCTGATTGTCTGACATGTTTTTTGTGTGTGTGTGTGTGTGTAGCTATAACAACCACTGCGATGCTGTTTTCTGCTTCGACTGCCGGCAGTAGAAGAGACGACAAATTGTACAATTATGAAAATCCATATTGGAGGAACTTTTGATAGTCGCCTTTATTACGCCTTCTAACTTAGGCAGCCATACACTTTATTCCTAAAAGGAATGCAATAGCGTGTTCTGACAAAGGCTAAATGTTAAAATTAACTTGTTTTATTCAAAGTGACGTAAAATTCACGGGATTATGTGTAGGGACTATATATTAAATGCTACTTGTAAATATCGGCATTGAATAAAAGCTATTTTTGTATGTGCATTATGTTAGATGAAGATAAAACTCAAGGCACTGTTGTGGAGAAATTAAAATTGAGTCATGTTGTGGACTGGTTGTTTGAATAAAGTATATTTCACAATAATACTACTTTGCATTCTGTGAGTTTCAACTCATTTTAACTAATTCTGTTAATGAAGCATGAACTTAACTTTAAATAGATTAATTAATAAATTGGAACCTGGTCTATTTATGGAGGGAATGGTGGTGCAGTGGTTTATGCAATAGAAACGCATTTACCTAATTTAAATCCTGGCTACGGCTACCATCAGTTCCAAGAAGTATCTGAATATCCTTGCCAACCAGCACTGATTGTAAATGGGAACGTGTGTGATTATCCACATGGCAAACACTGGCCACGTGATGTTATCGATTCAAACCGTCTTAGGATTGTTGTGATCCATTATCTTGCAAGGAAGATGTAGATGCTCTACACCTGTCGAGGGTTATTTTTTGCTCTATAAACCTGGCGACCATTCAATTCCCAGCCCCACATGAACCTCATCATTTATATTTACAACAACCTGTATGGTTCAATATAGCTACATACTATGACGTGGCATGGCGAGTACTGCATCCTGGAGTTGATGAACACGGAGCTGAAAATGGTGATTTATTGATACATTTCTTCCTGTAATGTAATTCACGTAGTATTATTTGGGAAATAAATCGTATAGCTTTATGCGATTGTGGTCATCCTGAACTAAAAGACTGAACATGACAAGCAGGGCAGTTCAGTGTGCTGTTTCTCCCATTGAATACGAGTTGGGCGTATTGCATTTTCATAAAAATACTCTTGTGCGATGTACGGGTACGTTAATGCGCAGTTAGCAAGCGGATTCGTACGTTGACACCTTTGGCATACGTGGAATAGAAAGATTTGCACCGGCCTGGGCCCTAGAGCTGGAGCAGTTTGGCAATTTTTGGTGTCTTGCTCTGGAGATTGGAGCCGGAGGCTGAGATTCTGGGTGCAACCCTGGTCCTTGCTCTTGGTGTATTAACCACAGGAATAGGAATATCACGCACCGTCTGTTCCAGACTCGATGTGATGTCACGGTGCACAAAGCACACGGTGATAAGGGGCCGTCCATAAATTACAGTCACGCACCTAGGGGGGGGGGTGGGGGGTCAGACATTTGTGACGATGTGTGACGAGGGGGGGGGTTTGAGAAATGTGACGTCAACATAAAAATGCGCAACTTTAAATAAATATAGACAACACGTTCTACTCAATTACATAGAATTTTTTATAAAGGTTTTCTCCTACAACATAAAAGTGCAGCGCCACATTAATACGCACTACAATGACAATAGTTTAAAGCGATTTGAAGCATGTTTTATTTGGGGGGGGGGGGGCATATTTGAGGGGGGGTCTGACTTTTTGTGACGCCGTGTGACGAGGGGGGGGGGGGGGTTCAAAAAGTGTCCAAAATCGCGTGACGTCATTTATGGACGGCCCCTAAGTGCACTGAATAAGCGGTCAGGTCCGGGTGCACAAAGCGCACGGGTGTTCACAGCACAGCGCGGTGTCGTCACAGAGGCCAGAACACGCTGTGAGGTCACAACACACGTGGCAAGCTATGCTCATTAAGAGTCCACGATCTCAGACCAGACATCAAACCCTTGCCGGTGCCACCCGAGGAGGTGGCATACCTTTCGTGGTTCCAACATTGTGTGGCCAACGGTGGTGAATTACGTGATAACCATTTTAGGAATGGGTTATCAGATAATTTACTCATAAGCCATATAAATAATTGAGTACATTAAATATCGGTACCAGCCAAGGTGGCACAACTTCAATGGTGCCATTGTATTTGTTACACCAACAGAAGTAAAATAATACATAACCTTTGCAAATGAGCAGCTGTTTATTTTTTTCTCGCAGGAAACCTGTTTTTGCACCTATCGCAATCACGCCTGTTTGCCCAGACGTTACAAATAGAACATTCCAACACCTCTGCTGTTCATGAAGACAATACATAACTTACAAAATGGATGTTTGTCCCCAAGGCATGTATTTCATACAAATTCTTGCATTTATTCACGCTTGTTCTTCAATGTCAGTGACTTAGTTAAGTCTGGAAGAGATTGGTGCCATCTGTTTTCCTTCTGTTTCTAGCAGCTTGTCTGCTCATGATCCTTTACTGGCAGGTGAGGCAAGTATTGGTGGTTCTGTATTATTTCTGTTCAGTAAAGATATCTAAAGTGCTAACTTTACCCTCAATGTATTGTTCATTGTACCTGTTAAGATTATTATTTCAGGCCAGCTACTACAGGCAAAAATAGTTATTTTGTTCAGTTTGTCAATTTTTTTTTTTTTATATTTTGCTTCTGTAAATTGTAAACTTTCATAACATGCACACAATTATTACCAATAACTTTAATAATTGATTAAATAATAAAAACTTTTTTTTCTATTTAATAAAGTTCGTTTTTACGATTTTATACAAACTTCGCAAAGTAAACAAAGTTTATAATATCCAAGTAGTTCCTTACCTCACTATGGTATTCCTTATTATCGTGTGTTTTCATTGTGTATTTAAACCAATTAAGACCAGTTCGTGACCTAACTGGCTTTGGTCTCGGTAGTTTTTCAGTCATAATGCCCATTTCATCGTTCCGGACGCCTGTCATAGGATATGGGTATAAAAGTCATGGTAACTGCAACTAAGCTGCCACTCTGCAAAGGTTATCATATCAGAATATGTCTCACACACGTGGAGGATTACAAAAATCATTACTAGACTTTGCCACCTCAGGTGGTACCAATAAGTGATTTTTTTTTGGGTAAAAATAAATAAAACGGTTGTAACAACGTCAGCTTTGGCCCATAAAACTATGAAAGGGATTTCTCAATTAAACTACCGCGAGATGTGTGAACAAGTGTCAACAAACAGACAATACAGCAGTGTAATTATGCTTCTCTTTAATGGTAAAGACCCCAATACATGAGTGATGCAGGAATATTTACAGAAAATTAATTACAGAGCCACCATTGAACACCAGCATTAAGGCCACGTTGGACATTCATAAAAGACACCTCCTTACCGACTGCAACTGCTTTAATTGGGTGGAATATTGGACGTCACATAAAAAAAGTCGATTAAAACTACATTATTCAGTTAAGAAAAATATAACAAGGCAAAATACTTGTTTCTATTACAAAACACCATACACCCCAATGTCTTATATTGTGATTTGGTTACTAAAAATGTTCCATAAAGCGAATATGAAAGAACTTAAAAAAATATACGTCCAACCATCGAAGCAGTTCAAGAAGCAGTAATTTAATAAACAAAGTGCAAATATATATAAACAAAAAAATAATAACAAATAAGCATCCCCATTACACAAACAGTGAAGAGCTTACGTAATAAGCATTTTTTTTATTAATATTAAAAGTGAAAAAAAACATTGTTCTGTCGATCACATTTAGAAATAAAAACCGATCAAACGTGCCACTCGCCTTATCCTTAGACTTAAAACTTTCGTGAATGCAGGAATTCATGTTCTTGGTTGTTTCGGTAAAGTCACGTAATAGACAACAACAAAATCTAAATTAAAAGCAATAAAAACCCCACGACGTTTCGATCGCAACACAAGCGGTCTTCTTCAGGTGGAGAAGACGGCTTGTGTTGCGATTTTTTTTGTCTATCACGTGACTTTACCTAAAGAACCAAGAATATACTTATCCTGTCTACAGACACCTTCACAACATCCATGGACACCAACAAACTAATCTTTTAAAATTGTGAAGTGTACAGCCTTAAATTGCAAGGATTTGTTTGGACCGATATTTATTATTCTAAAGTTAAGAATGTATGCCAAAGTGTAGGTTTTCCAGGAAGAACACAATGTTGCTTTTAAAAATGAAGATCACAGTATGAAGACATCTTTGGAATAAGCCCTTGGCAAATCTATCAGCGTGACCCACTACATTGAAAAGGTCCTCGTATTATCGGGTGGATCCACTCAACGTTTCACATGTTATATACACCCTTGCTTTCCCCACCCGCTTTGCATGGGAGTAATGTTGCAACAGGTGGAGAGTTCTCATTCGTCTCTTAAAAGGCAGAACTAAAAAAGTAGATACCCTTGGGCTGGAGGGAAACAGTAGTCAAGGCCTTGTAAAAATAACCCTTTGCGTTAAGATACATTTTATTTAGCATCTGCTGAGACCCAAGTTGAAAGCTGCTTTAAAAAGGGTTTGTATTTTCATCCAACAGAACTGCCAAAACACACCTGCGAAACAGCTGTATTAAAAGTTATTCGTAGCAAAAAAGACAACATTATTACAATATATTGTACGAGTAGGTGATGTTAATGTGTTTTGCGAATAATAAAATGTAACAAGTCGAATACTAATCATCCACGAAGAAAATCTTAGCATGTAATAAATGTACAAACTTACTTTTCTAAAAACTACACTACATTACCAACTACAGCCAATAATAAGTGGACCATTTGTACAGGGGTTCTGTCTTCGGATAACTGAGGCTCCCACATTTTATTCTTAGAACTAATCACCCTCGCAGTATTTTCTATTATTCAATTACAAAACAAATTCATAGCTTGGACAATACAACGAAATTTTATTTATAGATTTGTGAGTACGTGAATTGGTGTTTAAGAGGAAAAAAACTACGATAACTTAACAGGTATGCCGATACTTATAGATTTTTCTGTATTTACAAATTGATTTATTAGGTTATCAGTTTCTCCAAATGTAGACAAACCAGGACCAGATGAGCGCAAGTAACCCTATGCTATTACTACATTTTCAGGGGAATCACTGCTCATTCCTTTGGCTTCTTGAAGCCAATCTTTGGAAGGTGCAGCTTTGCTGAACCTGCCGCACCCGAATCGGAGTCGTGCTCGGAGTTTGACGAGGACATTCGGACTTCCGGCGCGCCAAAATGGAAGGAACCGCCCTCTACAGATCCGTCAAATTCGCTGCTTCCAGAGATGTTTGCGGAGCCCTTTTTCTTAGTTCCAAACGAAAATCCTGGCAATTTTATTTTACCTTTGCCTTTCCCGTCGGCATCATCTTGGCCATTGCTCGATCTTGCAGCGAGGTCCGAGCTACCGGAATGTACGCCTAATAGTGTGGGGTCACACTCGGCACCACCAGATGCATATCCACCGATGGTATAGGAACCCTTAGAGGAAATCCCAATACCTGGACTTTTTGAAGTGGGCGATTTTACCGATAAATGTGCATCATCAAAACTACTCAATGACCCATCACCTCCACCCTTGACTTTAGGTCCTTTGAATTTTACTCTGGAGGATGAAAATTCTACTTCTCCTTTAGCTTCTGGCAAGTCAAGATCTACATCTGATTTTGGCTTGCTTGTTTTTCCATGAAATCCAAACTTAGGCATTTTCATTTTGCCCTTTTTCACCTTTCCTTCTGCACCCTCAATGTTAAAATCTGGGGAATCCATACTGACATTTACATCTGGCATATCCACATCACCTTTAAATGATGGTCCAGAAAAGTCCGAACTTTGGAGGTCAACATCAACTTCAGGACCTTTTACTTTGGGCAGATTAACATCAAATTTGGGAATTTTAATTCTTGGCATTTTAAGCTTTGCATCTGGCCCTTCAATATTCACATCAGGCCCATGTAAATGTATTCCACCTTCTGGGGTTTTAATTTCTCCTTTCACTTGACCAGATACATCTATATCATGTGAGCCAACACCTACCCCTGCTTCTGGTTGTTTCACTTGTGGAAGGTTTATTTCAAACTTTGGTAATTTGATTTTTGGCATTTTCAACTTCCCTTCAGGACCTTCAATATCAACATCAGGGGCATTTGCATCAAATTTAATATTTGTTCCTGTATTCCAATCACCTTCAATATTTGAACCGGATATATCAATACCTCCCTTACCTTTTGGCATCTTAAGATTCACATCAAGGTTTTCACCAGATATTTTGGGCCCTGAAATTGCTACAGAAGGCATGCTTACTTTTGGACCTTTGAATTGTCCTCCTCCTCCTTCAATGTTCACTTTGGGTGCTTCAATGTTCACTTTGGGTGTATCCCCATGAAGGTTTGGAATTTTAACATCGTAATCTCCTCCTGGTGTAGACATGTCAAATTCTCCTTTTGGAGGGCTGAAGTCTAAATCCACAGTTGGGCCCTGAACTTTGGAGCCTGAAAACCCAAGTTTTGGCATTTTAAATTTAGACTTTTTGGATTTAACTTCAGGTCCTTCAATAGTTAAATCTGGCGAATGGGTATTCACACCAATGTCTGGTGCTCTGACATCTCCTTTTATTTCCAGACCAGACACATCGGCACCACCTTTTGCCTTTGGCAATTTAACATCCACATCAAGATCTGGGCCTGATATATTTGGTCCAGAAAGATTGAACGATGGCATTTGAAACTTTGGGCCTTTGATTTTTCCTCCAGGGCCTTCTATATCCAAATGCGGTGCACCAACATCACCCTTCACTTTTGGACCTTTAACGTCAATGTCTATGTCACCTTTTGGAAGACTGAGGTCCACATCTACATTTGGACCATGAACTTTAGGACCTGAAAAACCAAATTTAGGCTTTTTAATTTTGGGCATTTTAAATGTTGCATCTGGTCCTTCAATATCAACACCAGGTATGGAAACATCTCCTTCCAGTTTTGGCCCTTTAATGTCAACATCAGTTTTGGTGAAGAAATATCAATGTCAGTTTTTGGAATGTTAACATCCACATCCACATCTGGTCCTTCTAATTTTGGACCTGAGAAACCAAACTTGGGCATTTTCATTTTGGGTAGATGGAATTTTGAATCTGGTCCTTCAATGCTTATGTTAGGTGCATGGACATCAATACCCATATTTGGAGACTTAAGATCACCTTCTACTTTTGGTCCAGATATGTCCATACCCCCCTTTATCTTTGGCATTTTAAGACCCATATCAATATCTGGTCCAGAGATCTTGGGTCCCGAAATATCTATTGTAGGCATTTTAACTTTTGGACCTTTTATTTTTCCTTCCGGTCCTTCAATGTCTACACTGGGTGCATCAATGTCTCCTTTAACTTTTGCTCCTTTAACATTAAGGTCTAGCGAAGGTGCAGAAACATCAATGCCACCTTCTGGTAAGTTTAGGTCAACACCTACATCTGGTCCATGTATTTGAGGTCCTGAAAAGCCAAACTTGGGCATTTTCATTTTGGGCAGATGGAATTTGGAATCTGTGCCTTGAATATTCATGTCAGGTGCATTGACATCAATGTCCATATTAGGAGCCTTAATGTCACCTTCTATTTTTGGTGCAGATATGGCCATGCCCCCCTTCATCTTTGGCATTTTAAGACTCAAATCAACATCTGGTCCAGATATCTTGGGACCTTTGATTTTTCCTTCTGGTCCCCCAATATCCATATGTGGACCTGCAATGTCCCCATGAAAGCCTGGCCCTTTAACTCCAATATCTACTTTAGGTAGAGATGCATCAATCTCACCTTTTGGAAGACTAATGTCTACATCTGGAGCATCCAATTTGGGCCCTGAAAGCCCAAATTTGGGAAGTTTGACAGTAGGAAGTTTAAACTTAGCATCCAGTCCTTCCACATCAATATCAGCAGCACCAACATCCAAATCAACACCTGGAACATTAATGTCACCTAATGCTGGTCCTGACACATTAACACCTCCCTTTATCTTTGGCATTTTGACATCCATGTCAAGGTTAGGGCCAGATACTTTTGGTCCTGAGAATCCCAAGGTAGGCTTCTTTAACTTTGGACCCTTAACTTTTCCTTCTGGGCCCTCTATGTCTACATTGAGTCCTGAAAATTCCCCTTCAAATTCTGGCCCTCGAAGATCAATGTCTAATTTTGGTGCATTGAGATCAACTTTTGGAGGACTAAGATCAACATCGATGTCTGGGCCTTGAACTTTGGGGCCTGAAAATCCAAACTTCGGCATTTTAAACTTGGGCTTTTTCAATTTATAATCAGGACCTTCAACATTAATGTCTGGTAACGAAGTGTTCACTGCAATATCTGGACCTTCAAATTCCCCTTTCATTTTTGGACAAGATAAATCAGCTTTTGGGATTTTAATGTCTCCTTCAATTGTTGGAAATGCAATGTCAACATCCCCTTTTGGCAAGCTCATATCTACATCTAAGGTTGATCCTTTGACTTTGGGGCCAGTAAATCCAACTTTCGGCATCTTGAACTTAGATTTTTTAAGCTTAAAATCAGGCCCTTCAGCCGATAAATTTGGGGACTCTACATCAAAATGTCCCCCTGCTGTGCCAGACACATTCATTTCTGGGAGACTTACATCTGCATCAAAATCAGGAGATTTTAGATCCATGTCAATATCAGATAAGGAAGGTTTTTTACCAGACAGACCAAACTTTGGAAGTTTGAACTTAGAACCTTTAGCTTTCACATCCGGTCCTTTTAATGATATATCTGGTGCATCAATATTTATGTCAGGAGCTCTCATGTCACCTTTAATTTTTGGTCCAGATATATCGATGTCAGCTTTTGGAGAACCTACATCAAGGTTTAAATCTGGGCCTTTAATTTTTGGAAGATTTACCTCGAACTTTGGTAGTTTTACTTTGGGCATTTTAAGGTGGCCTTCGGGACCTTCAACATCGACCGAAGGAGCATTAATATCAACATCACCCTGCAATTTTGGCCCTTTGAGATCGATATCTATCTTAGGTGCATCAATATCAATGTCACCTTTAGGGAGACTGAGATCCAAATCTACATCAGGCCCATGAACTTTAGGTCCGGAGAATCCAAACTTTGGCATTTTCATTTTAGGAAATTTAAATTTAGCATCTGGTCCATGGAGATCTACATCAGGCACTTCAACATCCATATCAACATCTGGCACATGCACATCTCCCTCTAGTTTTGGGCCTGACACATCAACCCCTCCTTTAAACTTTGGCATCTTTACATCTAAGTTAAGGTCTGGAGCTGATATTTTGGGTCCTGAAATATGTGGCATTTTTATGTTGGGACCCTTAATTTTCCAGGCTGGACCTTCCATGTCTACATCAGGAAGAGATGCATCTCCCTGCAATTTTGGGCCTTTAACATCAATGTCTACTTTTGGAGCAGAAACATTGAGATCACCTTTGGGAAGATTGACATCTAAATCTAGATCAGGTCCAGTGAAGCTTTGGTCCTGAGAAACCAAACTTTGGCATTTTCATTTTAGGCATTTTAAATTTAGCATCTGGTCCATGAAGATCTACATCGGGCACTTCAACATCCAAATCAACATCTGGCACATGCATATCTCCCTCTAGTTTGGGTCCTGACACATCAACCCCTCCTTTGAACTTCGGCATCTTTATGTCCATGTTCAGGTCTGGAGCCGATATTTTGGGTCCTGAAATATGTGGCATTTTTATGTTGGGACCTTTAATTTTCCAATCTGGTCCTTCAATGTCCACATCAGGAACAGATGCATCTCCTTGCAATTTTGGGCCTTTAACATCAATGTCCATCTTAGGAGCGGAAACATTAAGATCACCTTTGGGAAGATTGACATCTAAATCTAGATCAGGTCCATGAAGCTTTGGTCCTGAGAAACCAAACTTTGGCATTTTCATTTTAGGAAATTTAAATTTAGCATCTGGCCCATGAAGATCTACATCAGGAGCTTCAGCATCAAAATCAACATCTGGCACATGCATATCTCCCTCTAGTTTTGGGCCTGACACATCAACACCTCCTTTAAACTTTGGCATCTTTACATCCATGTTAAAGTCTGGAGCTGATATTTTGGGTCCTGAAATATGTGGCATTTTTATGTTGGGACCTTTAATTTTCCAATCCTGGTCCTTCAATGTCCACATCAGGAACAGATGCATCTCCTTGCAATTTTGGACCTTTAACATCAATGTCCATCTTAGGAGCGGAAACATTAAGATCACCTTTGGGAAGATTGACATCTAAATCTAGATCAGGTCCATGAAGCTTTGGTCCTGAGAAACCAAACTTTGGCATTTTCATTTTAGGCATTTTAAATTTAGCATCTGGTCCATGAAGATCTAAATCAGGTGCTTCAACATCCAAATCAACATCTGGCACATGCACATCTCCCTCTAGTTTTGGTCCTGACACATCAACTCCTCCTTTAAACTTTGGCATCTTTACATCCATGTTAAAGTCTGGAGCTGATATTTTGGGTCCTGAAATATGTGGCATTTTTATGTTGGGACCTTTAATTTTCCAATCTGGTCCTTCAATGTCCATATCAGGAAGAGATGCCTCTCCTTGCAATTTTGGGCCTTTTACATCAATGTCCATCTTAGGAGCGGAAACATTAAGATCACCTTTGGGAAGATTGACGTCTAAATCTAGATCAGGTCCATGAAGCTTTGGTCCTGAGAAACCAAACTTTGGCATTTTCATTTTAGGAAATTTAAATTTAGCATCTGGCCCATGAAGATCTACATCAGGAGCTTCAGCATCAAAATCAACATCTGGCACATGCACATCTCCCTCTAGTTTTGGGCCTGACACATCAACCCCTCCTTTAAACTTTGGCATCTTTACATCCATGTTAAAGTCTGGAACTGATATTTTGGGGCCTGAAATATGTGGCATTTTTATGTTGGGACCTTTAATTTTCCAATCTGGTCCTTCAATGTCCACATCAGGAAGAGATGCATCTCCTTGCAATTTTGGGCCTTTAACATCAATGTTCATCTTAGGAGCGGAAACATTAAGATCACCTTTGGGAAGATTGACATCTAAATCTAGATCAGGTCCATGAAGCTTTGGTCCTGAGAAACCAAACTTTGGCATTTTCATTTTAGGCATTTTAAATTTAGCATCTGGTCCATGAAGATCTAAATCAGGTGCTTCAACATCCAAATCAACATCTGGCACATGCACATCTCCCTCTAGTTTTGGTCCTGACACATCAACCCCTCCTTTAAACTTTGGCATCTTTACATCCAAGTTAAGGTCTGGAGCTGATATTTTGGGTCCTGAAATATGTGGCATTTTTATGTTGGGGCCTTTAATTTTCCAATCTGGTCCTTGCATGTCTACATCAGGTAGAGACATATCTCCTTCCAGTTTTGGCTCTTTGATATCTCCCTGCAATTTTGGGCCCTTAATATCAATGTCCACTTTAGGAGCAGAAACATTAATATCACCTTTGGGAAGATTGACATCAAAATCTACATCAGGTCCATGAAGCTTTGGTCCTGAAAAACCAAACTTTGGCATTTTCATTTTAGGAAATTTAAATTTAGCATCTGGCCCATGCAGATCTAAATCTGGAGCTTCAGCATCAAAATCAACATCTGGCACATGCACATCTCCCTCTAGTTTTGGGCCTGACACATCAACCCCTCCTTTAAACTTTGGCATCTTTACATCCAAGTTAATGTCTGGAGCTGATATTTTGGGTCCTGAAATATGTGGCATTTTTATGTTGGGACCTTTAATTTTCCAATCTGGTCCTTCAATGTCTACATCAGGAAGAGATGCATCTCCTTCCAGTTTTGGCCCTTTGACATCTCCCTGCAATTTTGGGCCCTTAACATCAATGTCCACTTTAGGAGCAGAAACATTAATATCACCTTTGGGAAGATTGACATCAAAATCTACATCAGGTCCATGAAGCTTTGGTCCTGAGAAACCAAACTTTGGCATTTTCATTTTAGGAAATTTAAATTTTGCATCTGGCCCATGTAGATCTACATCAGGCACTTCAATATCCAAATCAACGTCAGGAACATTGATGTCACCTTCAACCTTTGGTCCAGATACATCAACTCCACCCTTTAACTTTGGCATTTTTACATCCAAATTTAGGTCAGGACCTGATATTTTAGGCCCTGAAAATGAGGGCATTTTGAATTTTGGGCTTTTTATTTTTCCCCCTGAACCTTCAACATTTATATGTGGTCCTTCAATATCTCCCTCGATTTTGGGCCCTTTAACATCAACATCTACTTTAGGTGCAGCAATATCAATGTCACCTTTTGGTAGACTGAGGTCTAAATCTACATCAGGCCCATGAAGCTTAGGTCCTGAGAATCCAAACTTTGGCATTTTCATTTTAGGAAATTTAAATTTAGCATCTGGTCCATGTAGATCTACATCAGGCGCTTCCACATCCAAATCAACATCTGGTACATGCACATCTCCCTCTAGTTTTGGCCCTGACACATCAACCCCTCCTTTAAACTTCGGCATCTTCATGTCCAAGTTAAGGTCTGGAGCAGAGATTTGGGGGCCTGTAATATCTGGCATTTTTATTTTTGGACCTTTAATTTTTCCTTCTGGTCCATCAATGTCTACATCAGGTAGAGACATATCTCCATGCAATTTGGGTCCTTTAACATCAATGTCCACTTTTGGTGCAGCAATATCAAAGTCAGCTTTTGGAAGACTAAGATCCAAATCGACATCAGGTCCATGGAGCTTAGGTCCTGAGAATCCGAACTTTGGCATTTTCATTTTAGGAAATTTGAATTTAGCATCTGGTCCATGGAGATCTACATCAGGCGCTTCAACATCCAAATCAACATTGGGAATATTGATGTCACCTTCAAGCTTTGGTCCTGACATATCAACTCCACCCTTAAACTTTGGTGATTTTATGTCTACGTTAAGGTCTGGACCTGATATTTTTGGTCCTGAAAATGAAGGCATTTTGAATTTGGGGCTTTTAATTTTTCCTCCTGAACCCTCAATATTTAGATTTGGTGCTTCAATATCTCCTGCTATATTTGGCCCTTTAACATCAAGATCTACTTTTGGTGCAGCAATGTCAACGTCAGCTTTTGGAAGACTGAGATCAAAATCTACATCAGGCCCATGAAGCTTCGGTCCGGAGAAACCGAACTTCGGCATTTTCATTTTAGGAAATTTAAATTTAGCATCAGGTCCATGGAGATCTACATCAGGCGCTTCCACATCCAAATCAACATCTGGCACATGGACATCTCCCTCTAATTTTGGTCCCGACACATCAACCCCTCCTTTAAACTTTGGCATCTTTATGTTCATGTCAAGGTCTGGAGCTGATACTTTGGGTCCCGACATTGAAGGTAGTTTCATGTTTGGGCCTTTTATTTTCCCTTCAGGTCCTTCTATATCCAAATGAGGTACATCCACATGTCCTTCCATTTTTGGCCCTTTCACATTAATATCTAATTTTGGTGCAGCAATATCAAAATCTACATCAGGCCCATGAATATTTGGTCCTGAAAAACCAAATTTGGGCATTTTTGGAAATTTGAGTTTACTCTCTGGTCCCTCAAGATTAATATCAGGACCATCAACATTCACATCCACATCTGGTACTTTCACACCCCCTTCAATTTTTGGTCCTGATACATCAACTCCTCCTTTCAATTTTGGCATTTTCACATCAAAATCAAGGTCTGGGCCAGATATTTTGGGCAATGAAATTGAAGGCATGGATATTTTTGGACCTTTGATTTTCCCTTCTGGTCCTTCAATATCCACTCCTGGAACATCCAGGTCCCCATGAATTTTTGGTGCTTTAACATCTATCTCTAAATTCGGTGCAGATGCACTAATTTCACCCTTTGGGAGACTGAGATCTAAGTCTACATCAGGTCCGTGAAGCTTAGGACCTGAAAATCCAATCTTTGGCATTTTCATTTTGGGCATTTTCAGCTTAGCATCTGGACCTTCAATGTTGACATCTGGTGTCTGAATATCCAGTCCACCAGCAGATCCTTTGATATCTCCTTTAAATTTTGGAGAAGACATATCAACATCAGCTGTTGGTAGATTCACATCAACATTTGCATCTATATCAGGACCCTGAATCTTCGGTCCAGAAAATCCAAACTTTGGCATTTTGAATTTAGGCTTTTTTATTTTCATTTCTGGTCCTTCAATATTGACATCAGGTGCACTCACATCAATTCCTGCACGTGGTCCTTTAACTTCTCCTTTTATTTTTGGAGAAGGTAAATCAATGTCAGGTTTTGGAATATTAGCATCAATATCTACAGTGGGACCATGAACTTTAGGACCTGAAAATCCAAATTTTGGGAGTTTAAATCTAGGCAATTTGAATTTTGAGTCAGATCCATCAATATCTACATCAGGTCCAGATAGATCAGCTTCTAATTTTGGCCCTTTTATGTCCGTATCTAGTTTAGGGGAAGAAATGCTAACATCAGCTTTTGGGATATTTAGATCTACATCTATATTAGGACCTGCAAATCCAATCTTTGGATTTTTCATTTTTGGCAATTTAATTTTCCCCTCTGGGCCTTCAATGTTGACATCAGGTGCCTCAATGTCCACGTCAAAATCTGGAACATTTATATCACCCTCTACTTTTGGTCCAGATACATCAATTCCACCCTTAAATTTTGGCATTTTCAAATCTAAATTGAGGTCTGGTGCAGATATATTTGGTCCTGCTATTGAAGGCAACTTGATCTTTGGACCTTTTACTTTCCCCTCCGGTCCCTCAATGTCTATGTCTGGAAGAGACACATCACCATGCCCTTTTGGCCCTTTGAAAGAAACTTCACCTTTTGGAAGACTGAGATCCATATCAACATCTGGTGCATGGATTTTGGGGCCTGAAAAACTGAGGTCAGGCATTTTCATTTTAGGCAGTTTAAATTTAGCATCAGCTCCTTCTATGTTCATATCGGGACCTTTGATATTTACATCAACATCTGAAACCTTAACATCACCCTCTACTTTTGGCAAAGATGTATCAATGTCTCCTTTTAACTTGGGCATCTTTAAATCCAGGCCAAAATCAGGACCGGAAATATGTGGTCCTGACATTGATGGGATCTTGAATTTCGGAATTTTTATTTTGCCATGTTGACCTTCAACATCTATATCTGGTGCATTAATGTCTCCTTCAAACTTGGGGCCTTTTACATCAATGTCTACTTTTGGTACAGAAACATCTAAGTCGCCTTTTGGAAGACTAAGATCCAAATCTACATCTGGTCCATGAAATTTAGGTCCTGATATTCCAAAGCTAGGCATTTTCATTTTGGGGAGCTTAAATTTAGCATCTTTTCCCTCAATGTCCACATCAGGTGAATTCAAACTCACATCAACATCAGGAACATTCATTTCCCCTTCTATTTTGGGCACAGATACATCAATACCACCCTTTACCTTTGGACTTTTAACATCGATGTCACCTTTTGGAAGGCTTACGTCAAAATCCACATCTGGTCCATGGAATTTTGGGGATGAAAAACCAAACTTTGGCATTTTAAATTTGGGGAATTTAAATTTAGAATCAGACCCCTCAATGTTCAAATTTGGAGCTTTAGCATCAACATCAACATGGGGTCCTTTAATGTCACCCTCTAATTTTGGACCAGTCATATCAATGCTACCCTTTACCTTCGGCAGCTTAACATCTAGGTCACAATCTGGGCCAGATATCTTTGGCAATTGCACGTCAATTGATGGCACACTCACTTTTGGGCCTGTAATTTTCCCTTCAGGACCATGAATATCTACATGTGGCACATCAACACCACCATGAAGTTTTGGAGCTTTGATATCAACATCTACTTTTGGTACAGAAATGTCGATATCACCTTTAGGGAGATCTACATCTACATCGGGTCCGTGAAGCTTAGGTCCTGAGAAACCAAACTTTGGCATTTTCATTTTCGGAAATTTAAATTTAGCATCTGGTCCATGAAGGTCTACATCAGGAGCTTCAACATCCAGATCAACATCTGGAACTTTAACATCTCCCTCTAGTTTGGGTCCTGACACATCAAACCCTCCTTTAAACTTTGGCATCTTTATGTCCAAGTTAAGGTCTGGAGCCGATATTTTGGGTCCCGAAATATGTGGCATTTTTATGTTGGGGCCTTTAATTTTCCAATCTGGTCCTTGCATGTCTACATCAGGTAGAGACATATCTCCTTCCAGTTGTGGCCCTTTGATATCTCCTTGCAATTTTGGGCCCTTAACATCAATGTCCACTTTAGGAGCAGAAACATTAATATCACCTTTGGGAAGATTGACATCAAAATCTACATCAGGTCCATGAAGCTTTGGTCCTGAGAAACCAAACTTTGGCATTTTCATTTTAGGCATTTTAAATTTAGAATCTGGTCCATGAAGATCTACATCGGGCACTTCAACATCCAAATCAACATCTGGAACTTTCACATCACCCTCTACTTTCGGTCCTGACACATCAACCCCTCCTTTAAATTTTGGCATTTTTACGTCCAAGTTAAGGTCCGGAGCCGATATTTTGGGTCCCGAAATATGTGGCATTTTTATGTTGGGCCCTTTAATTTTCCAATCTGGTCCTTGCATGTCTACATCAGGTAGAGACATGTCTCCTTCCAGTTTTGGCCCTTTGACATCTCCCTGCAATTTTGGGCCCTTAACATCAATGTCCACTTTAGGAGCAGAAACATTAATATCACCTTTGGGATGATTGACATCAAAATCTACATCAGGTCCATGAAGCTTTGGTCCTGAGAAACCAAACTTTGGCATTTTCATTTTAGGCATTTTAAATGTAGCATCTGGTCCATGAAGATCTACATCAGGCGCTTCAACATCCAAATCAACATCCGGAACTTTCACATCACCCTCTACTTTCGGTCCTGACACATCAACTCCTCCTTTAAACTTTGGCATTTTTACGTCCAAGTTAAGGTCCGGAGCCGATATTTTGGGTCCCGAAATATGTGGCATTTTTATGTTGGGCCCTTTAATTTTCCAATCTGGTCCTTGCATGTCTACATCAGGTAGGGACATATCTCCTTCCAGTTTTGGCCCTTTGACATCTCCCTGCAATTTTGGGCCCTTAACATCAATGTCCACTTTAGGAGCAGACACATTAATATCACCTTTGGGAAGATTGACATCAAAATCTACATCAGGTCCATGAAGCTTTGGTCCTGAGAAACCAAACTTTGGCATTTTCATTTTAGGAAATTTAAATTTACCATCTGGCCCCTGGAGATCTACATCAGGCGCTTCAACATCCAAATCAACATCCGGAACTTTCACATCACCCTCTACTTTCGGTCCTGACACATCAACCCCTCCTTTAAACTTTGGCATTTTTACGTCCAAGTTAAGGTCCGGAGCCGATATTTTGGGTCCCGAAATATGTGGCATTTTTATGTTGGGCCCTTTAATTTTCCAATCTGGTCCTTGCATGTCTACATCAGGTAGGGACATATCTCCTTCCAGTTTTGGCCCTTTGACATCTCCCTGCAATTTTGGGCCCTTAACATCAATGTCCACTTTAGGAGCAGAAACATTAATATCACCTTTGGGAAGATTGACATCAAAATCTACATCAGGTCCATGAAGCTTTGGTCCTGAGAAACCAAACTTTGGCATTTTCATTTTAGGAAATTTAAATTTACCATCTGGCCCATGGAGATCTACATCAGGCGCTTCAACATCCAAATCAACATCCGGAACTTTCACATCACCCTCTACTTTCGGTCCTGACACATCAACTCCTCCTTTAAACTTTGGCATTTTTACGTCCAAGTTAAGGTCCGGAGCCGATATTTTGGGTCCCGAAATATGTGGCATTTTTATGTTGGGCCCTTTAATTTTCCAATCTGGTCCTTGCATGTCTACATCAGGTAGGGACATATCTCCTTCCAGTTTTGGCCCTTTGACGTCTCCCTGCAATTTTGGGCCCTTAACATCAATGTCCACTTTAGGAGCAGAAACATTAATATCACCTTTGGGAAGATTGACATCAAAATCTACATCAGGTCCATGAAGCTTTGGTCCTGAGAAACCAAACTTTGGCATTTTCATTTTAGGAAATTTAAATTTACCATCTGGTCCCTGGAGATCTACATCAGGCGCTTCAACATCCAAATCAACATCCGGAACTTTCACATCACCCTCTACTTTCGGTCCTGACACATCAACTCCTCCTTTAAACTTTGGCATTTTTACGTCCAAGTTAAGGTCCGGAGCCGATATTTTGGGTCCCGATATATGTGGCATTTTTATGTTGGGCCCTTTAATTTTCCAATCTGGTCCTTGCATGTCTACATCAGGTAGGGACATATCTCCTTCCAGTTTTGGCCCTTTGACATCTCCCTGCAATTTTGGGCCCTTAACATCAATGTCCACTTTAGGAGCAGACACATTAATATCACCTTTGGGAAGATTGACATCAAAATCTACATCAGGTCCATGAAGCTTTGGTCCTGAGAAACCAAACTTTGGCATTTTCATTTTAGGAAATTTAAATTTACCATCTGGCCCCTGGAGATCTACATCAGGCGCTTCAACATCCAAATCAACATCCGGAACTTTCACATCACCCTCTACTTTCGGTCCTGATACATCAACCCCTCCTTTAAACTTTGGCATTTTTACGTCCAAGTTAAGGTCCGGAGCCGATATTTTGGGTCCCGAAATATGTGGCATTTTTATGTTGGGCCCTTTAATTTTCCAATCTGGTCCTTGCATGTCTACATCAGGTAGGGACATATCTCCTTCCAGTTTTGGCCCTTTGACATCTCCCTGCAATTTTGGGCCCTTAACATCAATGTCCACTTTAGGAGCAGAAACATTAATATCACCTTTGGGAAGATTGACATCAAAATCTACATCAGGTCCATGAAGCTTTGGTCCTGAGAAACCAAACTTTGGCATTTTCATTTTAGGAAACTTTAAATTTACCATCTGGTCCCTGGAGATCTACATCAGGCGCTTCAACATCCAAATCAACATCCGGAACTTTCACATCACCCTCTACTTTCGGTCCTGACACATCAACTCCTCCTTTAAACTTTGGCATTTTTACGTCCAAGTTAAGGTCCGGAGCCGATATTTTGGGTCCCGAAATATGTGGCATTTTTATGTTGGGCCCTTTAATTTTCCAATCTGGTCCTTGCATGTCTACATCAGGTAGGGACATATCTCCTTCCAGTTTTGGCCCTTTGACGTCTCCCTGCAATTTTGGGCCCTTAACATCAATGTCCACTTTAGGAGCAGAAACATTAATATCACCTTTGGGAAGATTGACATCAAAATCTACATCAGGTCCATGAAGCTTTGGTCCTGATAAACCAAACTTTGGCATTTTCATTTTAGGAAACTTAAATTTACCATCTGGTCCCTGGAGATCTACATCAGGCGCTTCAACATCCAAATCAACATCCGGAACTTTCACATCACCCTCTACTTTCGGTCCTGACACATCAACTCCTCCTTTAAACTTTGGCATTTTTACGTCCAAGTTAAGGTCCGGAGCCGATATTTTGGGTCCCGAAATATGTGGCATTTTTATGTTGGGCCCTTTAATTTTCCAATCTGGTCCTTGCATGTCTACATCAGGTAGGGACATATCTCCTTCCAGTTTTGGCCCTTTGACATCTCCCTGCAATTTTGGGCCCTTAACATCAATGTCCACTTTAGGAGCAGACACATTAATATCACCTTTGGGAAGATTGACATCAAAATCTACATCAGGTCCATGAAGCTTTGGTCCTGAGAAACCAAACTTTGGCATTTTCATTTTAGGAAATTTAAATTTACCATCTGGCCCCTGGAGATCTACATCAGGCGCTTCAACATCCAAATCAACATCCGGAACTTTCACATCACCCTCTACTTTCGGTCCTGACACATCAACTCCCTCCTTTAAACTTTGGCATTTTTACGTCCAAGTTAAGGTCCGGAGCCGATATTTTGGGTCCCGAAATATGTGGCATTTTTATGTTGGGCCCTTTAATTTTCCAATCTGGTCCTTGCATGTCTACATCAGGTAGGGACATATCTCCTTCCAGTTTTGGCCCTTTGACATCTCCCTGCAATTTTGGGCCCTTAACATCAATGTCCACTTTAGGAGCAGAAACATTAATATCACCTTTGGGAAGATTGACATCAAAATCTACATCAGGTCCATGAAGCTTTGGTCCTGAGAAACCAAACTTTGGCATTTTCATTTTAGGAAATTTAAATTTACCATCTGGTCCCTGGAGATCTACATCAGGCGCTTCAACATCCAAATCAACATCCGGAACTTTCACATCACCCTCTACTTTCGGTCCTGACACATCAACTCCTCCTTTAAACTTTGGCATTTTTACGTCCAAGTTAAGGTCAGGAGCCGATATTTTGGGTCCCGAAATATGTGGCATTTTTATGTTGGGCCCTTTAATTTTCCAATCTGGTCCTTGCATGTCTACATCAGGTAGGGACATATCTCCTTCCAGTTTTGGCCCTTTGACATCTCCCTGCAATTTTGGGCCCTTAACATCAATGTCCACTTTAGGAGCAGAAACATTAATATCACCTTTGGGAAGATTGACATCAAAATCTACATCAGGTCCATGAAGCTTTGGTCCTGAGAAACCAAACTTTGGCATTTTCATTTTAGGAAACTTAAATTTACCATCTGTTCCCTGGAGATCTACATCAGGCGCTTCAACATCCAAATCAACATCCGGAACTTTCACATCACCCTCTACTTTCGGTCCTGACACATCAACTCCTCCTTTAAACTTTGGCATTTTTACGTCCAAGTTAAGGTCCGGAGCCGATATTTTGGGTCCCGAAATATGTGGCATTTTTATGTTGGGCCCTTTAATTTTCCAATCTGGTCCTTGCATGTCTACATCAGGTAGGGACATATCTCCTTCCAGTTTTGGCCCTTTGACATCTCCCTGCAATTTTGGGCCCTTAACATCAATGTCCACTTTAGGAGCAGACACATTAATATCACCTTTGGGAAGATTGACATCAAAATCTACATCAGGTCCATGAAGCTTTGGTCCTGAGAAACCAAACTTTGGCATTTTCATTTTAGGAAATTTAAATTTACCATCTGGCCCCTGGAGATCTACATCAGGCGCTTCAACATCCAAATCAACATCCGGAACTTTCACATCACCCTCTACTTTCGGTCCTGACACATCAACTCCTCCTTTAAACTTTGGCATTTTTACGTCCAAGTTAAGGTCCGGAGCCGATATTTTGGGTCCCGAAATATGTGGCATTTTTATGTTGGGCCCTTTAATTTTCCAATCTGGTCCTTGCATGTCTACATCAGGTAGGGACATATCTCCTTCCAGTTTTGGCCCTTTGACATCTCCCTGCAATTTTGGGCCCTTAACATCAATGTCCACTTTAGGAGCAGAAACATTAATATCACCTTTGGGAAGATTGACATCAAAATCTACATCAGGTCCATGAAGCTTTGGTCCTGAGAAACCAAACTTTGGCATTTTCATTTTAGGAAACTTAAATTTACCATCTGGTCCCTGGAGATCTACATCAGGCGCTTCAACATCCAAATCAACATCCGGAACTTTCACATCACCCTCTACTTTCGGTCCTGACACATCAACTCCTCCTTTAAACTTTGGCATTTTCACGTCTAAGTTAAGGTCCGGAGCCGATATTTTGGGTCCCGAAATATGTGGCATTTTTATGTTGGGACCTTTAATTTTCCAATCTGGTCCTTGCATGTCTACATCAGGTAGGGACATATCTCCTTCCAGTTTTGGCCCTTTGACGTCTCCCTGCAATTTTGGGCCCTTAACATCAATGTCCACTTTAGGAGCAGAAACATTAATATCACCTTTGGGAAGATTGACATCAAAATCTACATCAGGTCCATGAAGCTTTGGTCCTGAGAAACCAAACTTTGGCATTTTCATTTTAGGAAATTTAAATTTACCATCTGGTCCCTGGAGATCTACATCAGGTGCTTCAACATCCAAATCAACATCCGGAACTTTCACATCACCCTCTACTTTCGGTCCTGATACATCAACCCCTCCTTTAAACTTTGGCATTTTTACGTCCAAGTTAAGGTCCGGAGCCGATATTTTGGGTCCCGAAATATGTGGCATTTTTATGTTGGGCCCTTTAATGTTCCAATCTGGTCCTTGCATGTCGACATCAGGTAGAGACATATCTCCTTCCAGTTTTGGCCCTTTGACATCAACGTTCACTTTAGGAACAGATACATTCAGATCACCTTTGGGAAGACTGACATCTACATCTACATCAGATCCATGGACTTTAGGACCTGAAAAACCAAATGATGGCATTTTTACTTTGGGCAATTTGAATTTACCTTCTGGACCCTGAAGATTTACATCAGGTGCTTCAACATCTAAATCGACACCTGGCACTTGAACATTACCTTCAAATTTTGGTCCAGATACACCCAATCCTCCTTTTCCGCTTGATTTCTTAAATTCGAGATTAACATCTGATCCAGATATTTTGGGCCCTGAAATATTTGGCATGTTTAATGTTGGGCCTTTGATATTCCAATCTGGTCCCTCCATGTCTACATCAGGTACAGAAAAACCCCCTTGCAAGTTGGGGCCTTTAACATTCATGTCCATTTTAGGAGCTGAAATATTAACATCACCTTTGGGGATATCAATACCCAAATTTGCATCTGGTCCATGAATTTGAGGACCAGAAATGCCAAACTTTGGTAGCTTGAATTTTGGCATTTTAAATCTTCCATCAGAACCTTCAATGTTGACATCAGCCCCTTTCAAACCTGCATCAGTGGTAGGAATTTGAATATTTCCTTCCTGTTTAGATCCAGACACATCAATACTACCTTTTACCTTTGGCAGCTTGACATCTACACCTTTAGCAGACACATCGGGTCCCGTTATGTGTGGCATCGTAATTGTTGGACCCTTGATGCTGCCTTCTGTTCCCTTCATTTGCACATTTGGTGCTTTGACATCTCTGTGAATTTTCAGTCCATTTGCATCAAAGTCCAGTGTTGGTGCAGATACATCAATGCCTCCTCCTTTAGGAAGATTGATGCTGAAGTCTCCATCTTGTCCATGTATTTTCGGATCTGTGAAGATATAACGGCATGTTTAGTTTGGACACGTTACATGAACTACTGCATGTTCAAGTTTCCTTTTTGAGTTGCACGAATTAACAAAAAATGTACGTACCCTTGACAGTGCCTTCAAAGGCTGCAGACGTTCCAGCGTCAGCTCCCGATCCTTTCATTTTCTGAAAGCTTACTTCATACTTTGGTATTTTCATTGTGGTTATGTTCAGGTTTCCAGGAATTTCCACACCAGGAGCATTCACATCCACTTGGGCCGACTTGGTCTTGGCATCTAATTTTGAATCGGCTATCTCCATACCGCCAGTTACTTTCGGCTTCTTCACATTCAGGTTCATATCTGCGCCAGATATTTGGAAACTCGAATCTCTCACTTCCGTCGTCGTTATTTTTGTTCCAGAGACTTTCCCTCCCAGTGATCGTGTATCAAAACCGGGGAGAGAGAAGTCAACACCCTTGCCGTGGGCATCAGTCTCACGTAGACCAGATGCATCGGTTTGAACACTTGGGCCAGAAATGTTCAATGTCTTGGATGTAAATGAAAAGCCAGCATCTGGTCCTTTTATCGTTGGTCCGCTGAGCTTAATGCTGTGATCACCGTTCTCTGCTTCCTGTTTTATTTTAAAGTCTGGACAAACTCTTCCACCGTCGCTGCTGAACGAGTAGCTGGATGAGCTAATTCCACTCTGGAATGTGTGTTCCATGTTTGGGTCAAACTCTCCTGAGGTCCTTGAGCCTCTTTGGCCCTTGAAGAGTACAGTGGTTGCATGAGTGGATGCTCCTTTATGAGATGTAGAAATCTGAAATGAAAACACAAACGTACTATTTTCATATGCTTCCACATTTAACTAAGCGACTGTTAGCAAGTACAGGAATTCAAGGACCTTGAGTGTAAGTATGTAATTGTAAACTCATTGTTCAGAATGTAACAATCATTGCACTATAAATACAGGGGGGAAACCCCACAACTAAAATATTGGCATGTAAAAGGTAGTGTAATATTCATCATTTACAAACTTGGAACAATAATTAGTAATTGCAAATAACCGTACTAATTGTTATTCTGCCTTCTGTGCAGCGTAGTAGTCGCGCTATGCCACTAGGTGACAGCGCCGCTGCGTTTGCCATTTGTGCGCTCGCTTGTATACTGGCCGCGCCGACGAAGCGGCGAGTCTCATGAATCATACCCCGTGCTCAAACGCCGATCCGCCTGTTGGACCCCCACTCGCATCCAGATCCTCGAAGGACAGACGAGGTTTGATCTTCTTCTCGAAAATCTTTGTATACTCTTCATTGTTGGCACTCTGCGGAGGGCGGGGTAAATGGCAAAAAAAACGACGAGGGTGTTCACACGGAGCCGCACAAACAGTTCAAGCACAGGGGTATACATAGAACTTCTTTCGCACCATACGTAGCCAACCGTGCTAATCGGAGGTGCGGCGGAAGGGCAACAAACTAAACACAAAAATGTAATGGTGAAGCCGTGCATGCGCCACACGATTGTAAAATAACTACATTTTAATTACATACAAAATGTAGTTGACACCCAAGGCAAGTAGTTCACATACCTTAATGACAATCAACTAAATATCTACAATTGAACCGTGGACCCCTATGCGACCACCACTATTGTGAACATCATCTCGCACATTCCCCTTCCCCCCGCCGCCCCTCCAGAGACTTGCACGTACCCCGGGGATAGGCGCACCATAGGTTTGGGGACCCACTGACCCACTGGCCTAGGCACTATGGTATATCTGCAAGTGTGTGGGGCTTCTTCACCGATTTATTATTGCACGCATGTGTGGCCGTTTTTATTCTTATCGTGAACGGGGGCATCCCACACACGTGCGCGTGTGTGTGCTTGAATATACTATTTTCATTACGTTGGGGAAAAGAACCCTACCGGGCCGAACATGTGCACCGTGAACTTATAAAACCTCCACCAGGCCATGTGGTTGTCTACGCCAACAGCGGATGTTACGGATCACATGATATTCTTACAGTCGGCCACTCGTTTCTTCAATTTACGGTATAAAACCAAATTTATTCAATTTGACCAAGTAGCAACGTAGCCCCCTACTGGCAGACTCATTTGTGAAAGCAAGCAATTTCGTGATATCCTTATGCTAAAGAATGGCACGACTAGAACACGTGCTCGAAATAATAATTATAATCGCCACTGCACAGGTATCATGTACGTATTCGTGTTGAACTTCCTCCGCACCGTACGTAGCCAGCCGTGCTAATCGGAGGCGCGGGGGAAGGACAACGAACCGAACACACGTCTCGTAGCTTCGCGAGGACGCCCCATTATCGGCGACGTGCACAGCCACCACGGCGCTCAACCTCCGCGCGCGACGCCGGGGCACCCACCCCTCCCGTCGGGCTCATTGAGCCAAAGTTGAAGTCGCGTGCCGTCGGGGACGTGGACTCGGCGCCGCCAAACTCCAGGTGTCGCGGGTGGCCGGCTCCGTGCATGCTGTACTCCACGGTGGTCGCCGTGCCGCCGCCGCCGCCCCCAATGCCAACGCCCCCGAGCGAGCCGCCCTCCAGCGAGAAGCCGCCCGCCACTTTGCGGGACGGGTGCTCCAGCGTGCCAGTGGGAGAACCGGCGGGCGAGGTGGTGCCGGAGGTGCGGCGCAGGCGCAGGCCCGTCGTGTAGTGCTCGGAGAGCGACAGGAAGCGCACCGCGTCCTCGTACTTCATGTCCTTGAAGTAGACCGTCGCCGAGATGATTTGGTCCCCTGCAGCGTTAAGAGAGTAAGAAAAAGAGAGCGTCAGTTTTGCTGATACACGGGGAAGCGATTAAAAGCGGCGGTTACATTGGGGATGAATAATGTAAATAAATGAAAATCCAACAATGCCGACCATTCCCGATCGTGACTCATCTCTTGCCATTTCCATTATCATCAACGTTGTTGTCAATTGTCATTAAGGTCATGTTTTGTGAAGTTGCATAAAACATTTAATGATTTAGTCATCGGCCTGTGGAATTTCCACATCAATAATATTCAGTTTAATAAGCCCGGTGATGAAACCGGTCCAAAGCTTTCTTCCTTAAATAATATTATGGAAAGCAAATATAAGCCGAGCGGCGAACGCCTATTTTACTTGTACGCGGATCGACATGGCTCGCACACGGGTGAGACGGTTTGCTGGATGGAGGAAGAACCTCTCAGGATCAAGGCTGCGAAGCCGACGACTCAAGTTCCATTCCCAGCCACGGCTAACAACGCACACCGGCGGCAAGTGATACGGAGCGAGCTCTTAAAAACTTTTTATATTTTACCAGCCAAGCTCCACCGAGTTGTATGTAGCTCTTTTTCAGAAGCCACCTGGCCACAATGATAGCTCAACAAAGTGGCTCATCAGGCACGATGGGAATTTGCACGCGGCAAGAGTTCAAGACGGCCGGGTCATCGTCGTCGTCACCTTCGGCGAGGCGAACTTTCTTGGCGAGCGGAGACTCCTTGTCCAGCTCCTTGATGTAGATGCCGCGCTTCCCGCCGCCGTCGATGCTGAAGTCGCGCGACGACACGCCCTCATCCCCCTCCAGGAGGATCTCCACCACGCTCTCCGAGCCGTCCCCTCCCTCCGCCATCGTGCCGCTCGCTGCCCACGAGGGCCCCGCAGGGCTCCTGTAGATTCCTATCCACGCACGCACGGGTGAGAAGGAATTCTGGATTTATGTATGTTGAACTTCTTTCGCACCCTACATCGCCAACCGTGCTAATCAGAGGTACGGATGAAGGGAGAACCTCTCCAGGATCAAGGCTACAAAGCCGGCAAACCAAGTTTGATTTCCAGCCACGGCTAGATATGGACGAAGCTATTAAAAACTATAAACTATTATTATTTTACCAGGTAAGGCCCACAGAGCTATATATCCCTTTATCAAAAGTTCAACGAAGTGGCTTATCGTGTTAAGATTTATAGCAAATACTCTACAAATGACCACAAACCACCGCGTCCTCCTCCCACCCTCCGCAAATTCACCATCCTGTACCGACCAGCGTGGTGAAGTATGGTTAAACAGCCCCTGTGACCAGCACCGAGCATTGCCTTGTGATGGTGTACCTCGTACACAATTTATACACGTTCCAGGTAAGCCAAGGTCTGTCGTTGCAAATACGGTGTGCGTTTAAGCGATTAGCGCTTAGCGCTTACACGCATATAGATGCAGCAGCAATGCGTGCCTGTCTATGTGTGCGCTACGTACAAAATCTTCAACGCGTCAAGCGGGAGCTCGCTCAGTGGCACGCTATGCGCGGATGTCCAGTTAACATGACTTGCGTATATATGCGAGGGGGGTTCAAGATAAATATGAGTCAGGTGCAACAAGAGTTTGCTAAATGACTGAAGAGTTCGACCGAAGGGACAACTGGGAAAACCCATACGAGTCCACGCAGAGGGATATGAGGGCAGGTCGGAGTGCTGCTGAAAAAAAAACTTAACTTAACAATGAAAACGGCAATAAAAAAGAGGGTGTTTAACCAGCGTACATTTACTGATATGACACAGGAATCAGAAACATGGACATCGACAACAAAAATAGAGAATTGAAGCTGAACAGTGCATGAAGAAGCAAGGATAGGTGCATGCTTGGCATTACACAAAAACAGGAATTAGCAGGACATATCCGTATTCATGTTCGCACCGCACGTAGCCAACCATGCTAATCAGAGGTGTGGGGGAATGACAAACTAAACACAAATAGCAGTTCTAAAGAAATGAGCGCTCAACCTAGATCATTTAAAAGTACATAGCTCCAGTGGCTTGATAATATTGGCAGGAAGAGCATTCCAGACGGCCGCAGAAGCGCACGTGAAAGCGCGCGATGCAGTGACCGTCTTTGTCCAATGGTTAGCCAAAAGCCGCATGCTAAATACGTTACACTAACTTAATAATGCAAGGGAATGGAATGAGGCCGGACAGACGTCACGGGAAGGGACGGTGTCCCGGTGGTCGAGACCCAGGAGGCATTGGCAGCCCAGGGGAGATCATAGGCTGACGACAATGCGAAGAGCCTGTACTAAATCCAATTAGTACATTTGAACTGCATTTTCAAAATGAAGCCAAATCTCGTTAGATGTGTGCACATCCTTTTTTTCTTTTTTACGAAAAAAAAATCCTATTCTCAAAAATCCTTCTGCTGCCATTTGCACGGAAGGGAAATGGATTACCGTCCACTTCTGTGCATCCACATCTCCAGGTCACCAACTGGCATGACCCTCAACCACAGTACACACACACGTAATACACAACAGTGCGGAACAATTACTGCAGCTTTGCATACGGCAGCAGCAGCAGCGAGAACTGAATAAAAACGTATTTATTATTACCTTAAAGAACTTTGACAGTGAAGCAGCCTAGGATTCAGAAGTCCTCATATCTCGTCCCCAGCATCCACTTGAGTTATCTGTGAGGCAGACACAGAACACATCCAACTTGGCACCGGCGAGACCAGAACTCCTCCATGCACGCACACACAGCAGCACGGATCGCTCGCGTCACCACCAAACCTGCCATCACGGGCGTGGACTTGCAGTCGGTGCAAATTGAACTTTTTAATAGCGGCATCGCTCGGGGCTCAACCCGCCGAAGACGTCTTTGAGCAATCGTGTCTCCCTCTCGCTGGCGATCGAGAACCTGAACTGGCCGAGTCACATTTTTCTGCATCACTTTGGCGTCTCGGTGTGTCTGGTGTTGCACAGACAGCGACCGGTCACTGTTGGCTGGGATGTTTGCTCGTTTTTTCAGCGAAGAGTACGGGCGCGTGATGTTTTTGGGGGCACAAAATCCATTCGCTACAACCGTGGGACCTTGCTACAAACAACAAGAAAAAACCGAACTCCCGCGCACACAGTAGCGTTCATTGATTGGGGCCGACTGAGAAATGGCGATCGCTCCAATTTCACCGCGCGCGAGGGGGTGGCATATCCTCTGAACCCGGGCTCCGTCACGCACACATTTTTGTGAAGTCACGGCAGCGACGCATGTTGACCCGCCGCCATCTGCGTTCCTTCCGTGCCTTATTAACTTTATGTGGTCCGTGCGCGTGACATATCGTTGTGGAAACACCGACGCTCTTTGTTGCCGAGCCCCCATGCAAATGCTGCGATCCGCGTCAGCTCGATATGCATCTGTTTCACGTCCAATTCTCCGATGTATTTATAAGGTCAACACAGACGCCGTGTTACATCGCAGTTTGCCGCCAGAAACATAATCAAATTAAATCTTTAAAGGGCGTATAGTTATATTTAACTCCTTGTTATGTGCTACGGTTGGGTATGGATGATTCCAATTCCCTAAATTATGACCAAACCCACATCGCAATTGAAAAAATTACGACCGGCTGGAAACAACAACGCATACATGAATGCATGTGCAGGCCAAGAGCTTTTGCACTCGCAACGAAAACCTTTCGTGCGTTGTTAATGTTCAAGGTGTTTGTGATCACACGAGGCTGATAACTCTTTTGTGGAATGCGTGTTTCTTTACGTACACACACACACATTCACGTGTGCACGAATGCACGTGAGAGACCCATGATGCGGTAAAACATTTTGCACTTTAAAAAACACGGGTAATTGACAACGTGAAAAATTTTTCGTTCCATGCGAAAAAAAAAACGAACTCTCGGCATCTGTGTAAATTGTCCATCTCCAAATAAGTCTTTTGCGTCTGGCATCCCAACTCTTTCCTTTAATAATCAGCCGAGTGAAGCCTGTTAAAACTACATGTGACAACTGCCCGCTAAAACTGCCGCCTTATTGCTCAAGTACAAGATGAAATTTTCCGCGGTTAAGTGTGCGCGTGCACAACATATATCATCAGGAACAAATATAATATGAACCTGACCTGGGTCGCCCCAATGTTGACACGGTCTAAAATATATTGGAATCATTGCATTAGATAGAGCTCACTTATTACCGGCATTTTGTACAATCTACAACAGTCGATAGAAATATATTTGAAGATGTACTGGCATTGCGAATACTACTTCGCAAATTGAGAGTTTAGTACAGTAACACCTCGGTGGTTTACATCGAGGGAGAATGCGTTCCCGAAAGGTGCGACGCTAAATATCGAAACGACGTCAATCAAAGAAGCGATGTACAGGGTAATAGTTAGTGGGTGGCGGTGGTGGTGGCGAAGGCTGAGAGGCGATGGACAACGAGAATGGACGGACGATGCCGTCAGCGACATGAGCATGTGTCGAGGCGACGCAAATTGGCTAGCGGTGCGAATAATAAAGTGGCGACGTATTTGCAAAACGACGTTAAAGGGAGTCAAATCGGGGTCATCCCTCTTTTACGAGCCACGGATTAAAATGTGAGAATTTCCAGGGAGGATGACGACTGTACCCAGCAGAGGGTGCTGTGTAATCACTCGGCAGCTGCCTGGGTGAATTACCGACCGCTGGGTCAGGACGAGACCCGCCCAACAGTTGACAAGAGCGGCTTGCCAGCCCCACCTTTTCATAACCCACATGGCACATTCATCTAAAGTGGCACCCTGCATTGGCAAAAAAAAAAACCTCAAAGCGCCACTATACTCTAACGTGAATAATTTCAACTTCTGCCAGGGTCCAAAAGCCTCCAGAAATGTTATAATTTTTTCCTACAAAACAGCACTCGCATTCTTGAGTAGTGTGATAATGTGCGTGCATAAATGGCAAGCACTTGAGGAATGCTGTTTACGTGTACAGTAGTGTGGAAGAGTAGGCAGAATACCCTACAGAGCTACCTGTATAGCGGAGGCCCTTCCACCGCCTGCAGTGTGCGCGAGTAATTAAAGGGCAGCACCTGTACCTTTTATATACGTGTAATCACACAGAAATGTATCAATTATGTTCACAATACACAGGGAATTGCCGGTGAGACTCAAGAAATTACAATGTTTCCACACTCTACTCTTTGATTCTTTCGGTAAAGTCACGTAGGTAGAAATATTTTTTATTTTATTTTATTTCTACCTACGTGACTTTACCGAAAGAAGCAAAGAGTATGGATTCCTGCAGTCACGAAAGCTTCAAATCAATCTTTCCACACTATATAGAAGAAGACGATATGTGAATATTACATTCAGGCTAAATGGGCTTGCAGAACGGCGCAGAAAAATCGAGTAGCAAAGACGGCGGTATCCAAACAAGAGGGGACAGATTCCCAAACTGAATCGCGACACCGGATTGCGACGATTCATTTGGGACACGAGTATGATTGACATTCGACACACTGGTTCCCAGACGATGTTGCTGCTTCAACGTCGGCTACAAACCTCATCTCCCTAAGCACTGTCGCTGCACGGCGCCCAACATGGTCCCCGCAGTATCATTTGCAGTATAAATTGAGGTGATATTTGTAGTGTCGGCACAGTCCAGTGTAGCGCAAAAAGTCCTTTAAAAATACCGGTTTGTTTTCTGAGTCTCTTCGATGATAATAAAATTGGTGCCAAGCCATTACCTGTTAATGTTTAAACTACCTTACAAACTGCCACTTAAGTCTGAACATTTACACAATCAGCCCTGGAATAGACAAACAGTGCCCAAATACGTGAGCCAATTTTGAAATCTGCCCAGTATTTGTTTTTGGCAGTGTTGGGCAAAAAAAAAGGTTCCTTGTAAAAACACAAATGAAAAAAGTGCACACGCAAGCACAATCAAATAAAACACGGGCTGCATGAGCAGCGATGCAGTCCCTCGGTCCACCTGCAGGTTGCGTGTGGTGGGGCAAAGTGTGGGCGCTCCTGCATCTTCCAAAGTATCTGCCCATCCATGGGAAAGTAGGCCAAAATACCCTAATCGAGTGGTGGCCCTTCTGCCAGCAGTTGTGTAAGAAAGTAATAAAAGGCACGTCATTTATAGTAAAAAAAAAATGGTCCCTTATGTTTGGGATTAAAGTATGGCCATCCAAATGGATCTTACATTTTCAGAACATTTGTCAAAAGATGCAGCACTTACATTACTAATGCCTTTTATTTACCCATGAAAGCCTCACCAGGTGTCGAGACTCATTTTTCCAGGTGTGTCCTAAAAAGTTTGGGATGTTTGGTCAATTCAATCAACGAATGTTTTGGCTTCACGTGTGAGGAAACTCAAGTATCCCAATGAAAACCCACGCAAGTACAATATTGGGGCAATCGAAAGGAAGAATCGACTTGCTGTACTGCCATCTCCCTGACGAGCAAGTTTGGGAGGTTCACAAGTCCACACGATCTACCCCCCAGGCCTTGTTGCCTCCTAGGCGCTCCGTGTCACAGAGGTGTGCGCAACAACCACACAAACGTCCGGCATGCAGCAAACATGGGCAACCAATCCAAGGTAACTTCTGGGCCGCGGATCTTTATATATATTTCGTGAAAATAATGTTCATAAACGCGGAGACGGTCTATTCATGCGTCTAGGTCCACACAACGGAGGCGGTAGAGGAGGCAAAAAAAAAAACCTGTCCTTGTTTACACCACGCCGTGTGAACAGGGTGAGGTAGCCGGCCTGCAATCTGTGAACAATGCAGTCGTTTCTTTTCATTCCACGTCCAACAACAATGCCAGCCCTGAGAACTTTCCTGCGGTGCTTTCCTCATTCAATTTTTTTCGCCACCACGAAGGACACCCATTACGGTCGTACGCTGCCGATTTTGATATTATTATTATTATTATACACCACCGTGTCCTTGTGATGGTGCCGTGGCGTAACGGTCAGCACACGAGACACGCAATCAGTGCAGGGGTCGCCGGTTGAATTCCATCTCCTTGGCGCGCGGTCGCATAATACATGGTATACTACTAACAGTTGATAGGCACGGCACGTCGCGTCTCCCGGGGTAACACGGGGGTAACCCAACTCTTCTTCCAGGATGTATGGAAGAGAAGGCCAAGTACCCTCAAGTGGAGTTCCTTCTAACAGCGGTGGCATGAGCAACTGCAGAACGGCACTTTTGCCTTTTCCTTTCTGGATCCTTCCATTGTCCGCTCACTCTGCCTCCTCGTCCCATCTCTGGGGTATTGCATGACCGGTCGTGGGCATGTATCCTGTAAACCCCCTTACTAGCTGGCTCTGCAGGCATCGTGTCACGCTGGGCCACACCAGCGTTCACTTCTGCTGGCGCTCGTTAAGACTTGCACAGTGCCGCTCGGAAAGTGATTTGGCACGAATCTTTCACGCCGAGTTGAGGGGGGGGTCAGGGGTTCATGCTTAATTGCAAGTCGGCCAAGCTGAAATTCGGCTCACGCAAACGCCTGAGGGATACCCCAGTAAAAAAAAACTGCCTAAGTTGTCACGTGCTTGGAACTGTTAGACCAACGTTTGGCCGATGAACCGCGCTTAATAGGAAGAAGAACCTCACGGTTTGTGGAACGAACGGCAAGGAAAGAAGGAGTTTAAAAAAAAAAGCCACACATCTGCGTATGGTTGCAACG